TATACCACCTTTCAACTCTGTTATCTTTACCTACAGCCTGACAGTCTCATTTCAAACTTTGTGTGACCTTACAGTTTGAAAGAGATAATCCATAGGGCTACAGGAAATGATGCTGCTCTTCCTATAAGTTAGTCCTTCACAGAGACACTGCTCAGGAAAAGATTCTTCTCCCTGTAGCAGGCTAAAAACAAATGGAGGAAATGCTTTGACAGCTGAAGATAGCTTTCATCTTTAACAGGAAGAAATAGGCTATTCTTAATCTTTGACCTGAATTCCTGTGTGCTTTTTAAAAGACTTTCACAGGCAGCAGTGGGAGGTGCAGTGTTTAGCATGTTTTGTCTGTGTGCTGAGATCTGGAAGGTGGGCCCAGAAAACAGGCAGAAATGTGGATGAGCAAAGAGCAGTATGTAGAGGGTGAGGTAAGGGTTTAGGTTGATAAATGAAGGCTTTTTTAATAGTTACATTGCTTTCACTCCCATACCTTTTGCCCAATCTGAAGAGAAAAGACACAAACCAATGGAGACCAAATTAGGAAAAAAATTGCCCAGAAGATTTCAGTGATACCTTCATGAGAGACTTGGGATCACTGGAATTCCTGTCATAGCACCTTAGTGGGGATATTGGAGTGGAGCTGACTGTTGAGAACCCTTCTTGTGCTGGCTCTGCAGGGCCAGAAAATGTTTCCAGAACACAACTCATGTATGGTTATCTCAGTCATTAATATCTGTTCCATTACGGGTCTGTAATGCTGTATTTCCCTGCTGGTGCAGTGACCAATCCTGGGAAAACATCTCTGCTTCTTCTGCCTCTGTGAGCCACTTTTGTTGCCTCACCACTACAGACTAGGAATGATCTGGTTTTTTTCCTCTTGTAAGGAGGGAGAGACTTCCTTTCTCATATAACAGTGTGAAAAAAGTGGAAAATTGAATTCAAAGACAGAGGGGCCAGGGACTCTTCAGCCTCCTGATTTCAAAGCTTGCCTATTTTCTATTGACACAGCATCAGTGAAATGGTGTTGTGCAGTTTTAATACCTTGTGCTGGTGTTATGTTCTAATGCTCACCTAAAAACTTTATTTTTGAGGGGAAACTAATGCCAAAACTTGCTTTCATTCAACTGGGGAAATCTGCATGGAAAGAACATATTCCAGGGAACTTCTTTTTTTTTTTTTTTTTAGATCTGTGTTTTGTTCAGAGTATGGTATGCTTAGTATCCAAGTTTCAAGATACTCATAATGCTTAGGTATTTTCTGTTTTGAAGGCATCTGCGGAGTGTTCTTACTGGCAGTTCACAGATTGGTACAGAAATAAAAGCTGTATATTGGGCATTGCCAGGTGTGTGTGAGGGTATTTAAATGCATGTATGTATTTGTGTGTGTATTTAAAATGCCTCCTGTGTGCAGATATTAAACACATCCTCTTGGGGATTGCAGTGTGACTTGCATACTTGGAGGCAAAGGCTCTGAATAAAGAACCTACCCAGAACAGAGTGAAATTAGCTGCAGTTGCTCGTGGGTTTTCAAAGCAACAGCAGCAGTCAGAATCTGGCCTAAGTAATTAAGTTATGAAGCATGGAAAGGAAAAGCAGCATGTGGAAGATATAATTAATAGGAACATATAACAGTCAGCTCTCACATAATAAATTGGCAGCTATGCCTGAGGTAACTGCCTTTTATTTGCAAAATGCTGTTGGAATTTTTTTTAAGTAATTGCACATTTTCTTCCATTTCCACATGGTCACAGAGAACATAGTACAGTACAAATACCAACAGGAATGCAATAAAATCATCACTGTTGTTTGTTGTTTTTCCTGCTTAGGGCTATGATCTTATTTAAGCCAATGTCCAAAAGAAAGGAGGAATACATTTTAGCTCAGGAAAAGACAAGTGGCAAAACATTTTAGTGAGGTTTAATATGGAATAATTTAGAAGGACAAGGCAGGAACAACCAGAATAAATAACAGTAAATGGTCAGATATCTATTTGCAGAACAGATTTATTAATGTGTTCTCCTAACTTGAGTAAATAACAGTTAAGATAAATGTTCTGAAGTTCTTCCATTTTGGAGGCTTGAATTTTCCCCATCTGAAGGTCTACTGCAGCTTTTCCTGCAGAAAAATCTTTGACATCTTTGGGTACACCACAGATTCTGGCAGATCTTAGGTGAATCCAGTCTACCACTTGCCTTGTGCAGAGCTCTGGAAGGCTGTGGGATGGCACCAGGGCTCCCCACAACCAGCTGCTGCTTCAGCTGCCTCCAGCAGACTGCTGCAAAACACAAAGCTGCAGTCCTGCTCCAAACATTTGCAACAGGAAACTGAGGAGGGCTTGCAACTGGGGTTTGCTGCTCTGCCCAAAACATACAAATTACTGGACTTTTTAATTGCCATTTCTGGCTTCTCAGTGAAGAAGAGGGAGCTGCATGTCACTCCTGCTGCTACCTGGTCTATGTGATTCCTCTCTGCACCCAAGTGGGAATTTCTAATACTGCTTTGTTAGTCTGGATTTTCTTTTGGCTTTAAGCAATCTGATTGCCATCACTGCAATAGTGGGGACGAAAAAAGGGAAGTCCAAATCTACTTTATTGTAAATGTGAAGAGGATCTGGCCTATATTGTCTGTGAGTGAATGAGGATGGGATCTTGTGAACTCCTAACACTGGAGTGAGTTCTTAGCACCATAAATGTGATTAGAAGCTTTACTGCTGTTTAAAATTGAACAGCCTGAAGACCAGGAAATAGAGTTTGCTGTGAAATATTCCTGCTGTAACCAGTCTCCGTACTGCTGACCCCAGGGGATCTTGCATTTGCTGCAGGCTGAGTTAGTAGGCAGTTTGTTGCTGAACGAAGGTTTGAAATAGCAAGTTTTTAAAAAGTACATCCTAGCAATTTTTGTGCTGATGAATTTAGAATGATGTTCTAGCAAGCTCAGTACACTCCAAATTAATTAGCAGTGATCCTTTTAACAGGATAATTACTATATCAGCAAGTGGTAAACTCAAAATGAATATGAGTAGTTCCGGCTTGCATCCACAAGGAAGAGCTGTCTTATGGTTCTACCAAGTGATTCTAAATTCATCCCAGTGTGAAAGGTTTTAGACAGCACAGATCATCATCAGAACTGTCACTTTTTTACCTCTAGACTTGAATTAAAATCCAAAATGAAACGCATTCCATTTTCCATATGTCTACCTCACAACACCATGGCAAGTAGGAATTGGCTTTTTAAAACTGCTGCTGGAAAAAGGCTGAAAATAAGCAGAGAAGGAGGTGTTGCACATTACTACTATATAAATGGTAGACAGGGCTATGAAGCATGTGATACTTCTTATGGCTGTGCATTTTCTTCCTTCATAATGGAAGGGTCTTATCCTGCACAGAACAGTAAGAACTCACAAGTATAAACACATGTGCACATCTTTGGTGTTTGGGCCTTTTAAACAGGTTCATCTTTCAAAGAATAAATGTATCACTGTTTATCACGCTGTGGATAAATAAATACATGATGCTGCAATGATGGCAGAAACACTTCCATTCATTCCTGAAACCAGACCCTGGTTTTCAGATAGCTGAGGCTTTAGAAAATAAGGCTTAATTTGGTGCTTTAATATGGGAAATTACCTTAATTTGGTCACTCTATATGCTTTTCTGCTCTCTTTCAGAATGGATGCAGGAATCTGTAAAAGTACCTGCCATTTTCTGTGAAAATATAATTTTTAGGCAGACTTTCAAAAATCACTTATCTTACTTTCAGCTTCTCTAAGCTGTTGAGCAAAATGATCTTACACTGATCTCAAGTGTGCTCTTCTCCATGTTGAGCAAATGATCTTACACTGATCTCAAGTGTGCTCTTCTCCATGTTGAGCAAATGATCTTACACTGATCTCAAGTGTGCTCTTGGGAGAAATTGGGACCCATGTTGTTCACTCCAAATGTGAAAGTAGTCAAGTATTAATTATTAGCCATTGCTTAGAAATGGATCTTGACACTCACCAGACCAGACAATCTCTCAGGTTATTTCATGGGACCTTGTGGTGCTTTTTGAAACATGAAGTGCATGCCTGAATCCTTTGGCTTAGATGCCCTCAGCAGCAATGCCATCTTCTTTCTAGAGAGAGTCTGTGTCAGGCCACTTTTAAAAATCATACAAAGTGGAGACATTTAAAAAACTGTCTCAACTGTAAAATCAAGAGGAAAAAAGTATTCACAAATATTTTGGTGAGGTTTTGTCCATGTGTGTTGTGTATATGTTCTAACTGGCAGAAATAGAAAGGCAAGAAACTCTGTAGAAAATGTCTGTAGCAAATGCAGTTGGCTTCTAGTGATTCAGGGGCTGATTTTTCTTTTTGATAAGGTTTAGGTTATTCAGAACGGGCAGGTCATAAGTGTCTTTTCTATGTAGTTTCATGGTTTTGCATAGTTCTTAACTGAATCCAGCCAAAGATGAGGTAACATCTGAAGGTTTCCTTAAGTTTCTGGAATGAACAATGTTCTCAAGTCACAGTAACAGCACTAACATGCCTGCACAGTTGTTGCTGCTGAAGTTCCTTCTGTTCATGGCAAATATATTGTTCATCACACTTTAGTCATAGCCCTACCATTCTAGTAGAGCTCAATGCTTTTGTGCTTCCTATAAATGACAGGCTTGTCCTTCCACTTGAATTCATGCAAGTACATAGGTCAGCACAGTGCCACCAACGGTAACAACCAATCAACCAGTCTTGTTAGTGCTCCCAACCTTTCTTGATACTACAAACTATGGCTACAAAATCCCTGTGAGTAATATAATATGGAACTAGTCAAAACCCACCATACAAATGGATTTAAAAAAGGTCCCATTGCTAAGAATTTGCTTGAGAAAAGTTCCCCTACAATTTAGAAGAAATGAATGTTCTCTTGATGCAAAAGATGACTTAGGCGCTCAAGATCTATTTGATCACAGAAACTGACAAAGCCCTTCTGAAGAAGCTGTGGGAAATGCAACCTCTTACAAGTCAGGAACTGCTCAGTGATCTTCTGAAGGAGCTTGGGATTCCTCTTTTGGAGGAACAGCAACAAACTCTTTCATTTCATTCTCTTGGCGACCAGTAGCATGAGCACGAGCTTCATAAGGCTCACATGGGCAGCAACAGACTTCTCCTTTCCTGCTCTTCTGCAGAACGGTGGTACGGAAGTCTAAGGTTATCACTGCCAGCCGGTACAGCTGCAGAGTCACAACTAAGATATTCTTAGCTGTAAAAAACACCAGCATCTGATTGAATATTCTGAAGTGGCCCATGAGAATTGAACGCACAATGAAGAAGGGGCCATCCTGTATGAAAAGGCTGACACCAATGTTCCAGAGTTCTGCACTGTACCTGCACAGCAGCAGGCTGGGGATCCGCCTGGCCGACGTGCTTGGTTTGCAGCCAATATGCTGTACTGCAAGGAAAACAGTCACATTAAAACAATTTTGTGTATTGGCCTAAAGGGCACTCACAATACAGGGTATTCTGGATTATAAATGCATTCACCTGTAAACCGTGCAACCTATAGCATATCCAGTTTCTGGGATGTTTTTCAGCAAAAGACACTGAACTCACCTGAGGCACTTATGTGGTCTGACAAACAGGATTAAACACTTCCCTTTTTGTATGCCTCAAACATACCAGTATTTATACACTTCTACAACAAAAAGCAGAAATAGATCACCTAGTGATTCTTTACAACTTCCCCAGATCTTTTATTTGGTAAATCAACATGCCAGACCAGTATGCATCCTTAAGAAAAAAACTGTGCTGAAAAGGAATAGCCAGTGCTGTAGCACTTCACTTTCTTCCACGCTAAGACATTGCTTTAAAAATATTCACTAGATAACCATTGCCTTTTTCATGTGTCATAGTAAGAATAAGGCCTGTCAGTGCCAGGCAATATTGAGCACTATGTGGTTTCTGTCTGCCCTGTAAGACTTGAGGCACAGATTCTAATTCTTAGCCTTGTGGACACCAATGTCATACAATGCTGGAACTTGCATGCATGGGTTCCCCTTGGCAGTAGAGGTGGTGGTGGGCTCAAATGCCCTCTATGGTGTAGTGTCCAGAGAAGGAGCATCAGAAGGGTTTGTGGGGGGAAATTTGGCTGTATCTCACAGAAATACACGAAGCTTAATTAACCTGTCTCTTCGACAGGGAGATTTCATTGGTTTAAAAAACATCACACTTGTGATGCAGTAACAACTGCCAAACATTTCAGCTTGCCAAAAGAATTCTATTGTTTGAGTCAATGCTGGGGTGGGGGGAGAAAGAGATGAGACTCCAATGGAAAATGAGTTGTAAAATATAGAAATTTGCTGAATCCATTAGGCAAAACTTCAGCAGCAGCTAATTTTTTAATGTGCTTCTGTGCCATTGCTGTTTAATAGTCCTAACTGTAGTCTAATAATAACTGCCTAAAAATGTTTTACGTCATGTTTGATGTGTGAATAAACATTCTGATGCTTGAACAAAAAGTACTATCTGTGCAACTGTATAGAACTACCTAAAATGAACTGTACCCATAGTAATTTCAGGGAAATAGGTGTTCAGTAATTTAATTTTTAACTGGTAGGTGTAATTAAATAAATGGAAAAGCAACAGCTAGAGGAAAAAAATAAACAGATTAAGTGCTATTTGAATTTATTTGTGTGGTGGTGATGTATATAGGATGTTTTTTATTTGGTTGGTTGAGGTTTTTTAAACCTGACTGCTGTGCATCTTTAATAGAATATATTTTAGCAGTAGCAGGAATTTTAGCTATGATAAAGCTGAAATGTGATTGCATCTGATTTTTTAGGAAGTAAGCTGCTGAGCTGAAATGCTGAAATATTTTCATAACTTCCCTGTTGGAAACAAAGCCTAGCAGCGTCCATGTAGAAAAGACTAATGAACAAAATAATATTTCAGGAATTTTAAATTTATTATTCTAGTCAGTGTGTTAGCCTAGAAATCTATTTTGTATAGATGGTACTGAGGATAATGCATTTTTGGACTGCTATAGTTGTTGCAAACTTGTTGTGATTGGAAGCCAAAATGATTGGAACAGATGATGCTCCAGACAACTTTCATTGTTCTTTTTGGACAGGGAGAAGCCCTTTCTGCCCAGGAACAAACACAGCCCTGAGCTGGCTGAATAGCTGGCCCTTTTAGATGAAGATAACATCATAGAGTCTCAACATAATATGGTCCTTTAGGTCTCTAGTGAATAGGTAATTTCTCCTGTGCTTTTGGCTTTGCTATTCTGTGGTTCACGAGTGCCTGCCTCTCTGTAGGGTCTAGGACCTACCCAAATTTGAGGCATAATAGACCAGCTCTAACATGAGAGCTCACATAGTGAAGTTTAAGGCAGTAACAGGCAACTGGAACAACACAATAGTGCAATCATTTCTTCCTTTTCCTGAAAGTAGACAGCTCAATGAGAGAGATCAGAGGTTAGCCAGAAACAAGTATTTCCTCAAAAGAAACCACAATGAGCTTTCTTCAAAAGCTGTTGTATATGAATTCCTCTCCACCAGAAGTCCTTAGTACAACCTGTATGTAGTGTGTGCACAACCACAAGATGTACCAATGAAAACTTAAGGGCATTTTTTCTCTTTTCTTGTTTGTGTGCAAGTACTAACCTGCAAGATCAAGTGGAAACTGTAACATACTCCAGGTCCATACAGCAAGAATTGCATTTATGAGAGCGTAATTCTTCCTATGGGAGGGGGAAAAGTGGTAACAATGAAGATGCAGTTTCCTTATGAGATCACAAAAGAGCTTCCTGTAGTGTTTGTAATCATTTAAAGGGTAGCTGAGTGAAACAGTGATTGGTTTATTTATGTGCTTTTACAATGCAACACTAAGGAAAACAGAAGCACCTTTTTGTATGGTATTTTTGCTGTTAAGGCTTACATGTTCCAGCTGTGTAATTACACTAAATATCTGAAGCTAATGTTACAATAATAAGCATATGAGGATAGACTCTGTGGCTCAGAGGGGATATCTTTACCCTTGTAGTGATTACACATTCCTTGCAAGCCTGAAGCTTCTCTGCCAAGCGGAAAGGACTCTTTTCCTGCTCTAAAAGCCTTGCTGTGATATTTACAAAAAATAAAATAGTATTTGTTAGAGAGGATGAACCTCTTCTGTGACTCTTTCCTTATGATGGATGTTCACAGCTCATCTCTCAGCAGTGTGAGGGGGAGGTGAGCTTACTTTCTCTGGGAGAGATCAGTGTTGAAAATTCACACCAGACTGTGCCATTCCCTTTCTTCTTATCTTTGAACACTTTGTCACTCTACCATGAAGTACACATGAGATAACCAAAGAAGCAACTTGGATAATGAATCACTTAAGCCAGCTCTAGTTGCTTCCTTGCCCATCTGAAACAATTCATTAACCTGAAGGAGGCTTACTGCGTATCCAGTGTTTCAGCTTCTGTAGCTGTAAAAGCTCCTGGCAGTCAGGCTGCTCATTTGGCTCCCTGAACCCTTTCATTGTGATGATGTGACATGCTTCTCTGCTGGCAACACATGAGTAGTCCCCAACAAAGCTCACAGGACTTTCACAGGGGGAAAGGCAAGAGCAGGCACACAGAGCCCTTGAATGCAGCCTTCTGCTTTCTATGGGAAACAGTTTTACCAGTCTGAACACTGCACATTACACAAATATCATCAGCAAAACATCCTTACCGAACATCCTCGATGTCCAAGGTCTCACTAGCAAATTCAAGTATATCTGCTGCTGTTCCTACAAACATGAGAAGCAGCTGAGACAATTGATCCCGGGTGATTTCAACTCCAATGGGGAGAAGCCATCTCCCAACTACTAGTAGCAGTAGAAAAGTCTGGTGGAGGGCCAGGGTCCATACAGTCTCACAGATTGTGGAGAGCTGATTGACAAAGACTTTAGCCTGTTTAAAAGACAGCAATAATGTACTGTAACTTCAGGAGACTGATGTTAGACATACTGTCAGAGACTGTATTTGTCTTTGAGCCTGCTTTTGTTCTCTTTCACATTGTATGAGAACAAATAATTTCCATCTCACAGGCCTGGTTTATAAAGGCACTCTAATACAAACTTTGGATAATGAATATCAAATCTTTCTCTGTGTACTACTCCTCCTGTCCTCATTTTTCAATTGAGCGTTGTGCTTTGCAGACTTGTTACCCAGGCACTTTCTAAATCCAGTTACTGAGATTTGCAAGAGAATGGTAGGGCCGCCTCTTCTTTACACAGAGACTGGTTTTAGCAACACTAGTTAGTATGCAGCATGCTGTATTTTCAAAATGTGTTTTTCTAAATTACAAATATATATAATATACATGCTCTGGGTTTTTACCTTTTTTTGATTGGTTTTTTGTTTTGTTATTTTGTTTTACTCACAAGGTGCTTATCTCTAATTGTCATAAGATCTCTACCAGAAACAGGAAAAGGTGCCCTACCGTCTGAATGATGTGGTGATCCGTTCCCTCACTTCCATGACTGCTCTCTCTGGATTGATTGAAGTCTTGATTGCTGACATTGACCTGAACAGCCCCAGGCTCATTGCCACAGTACTGTTGTGAACAAAAACATGACACATGTGTAAACATCCCACCCAGGAGCAGATGTGCTCTATGGCTGTATCCTGTTTTGCTGAACTGCAGAGGGTATCTGATGTTTGCAAAGGTCCTCACTCTTAATGCAATTAAGAGTGAGGACCTTTGCAAACATCAGATCTTCTTCAGAAGGGAGGAATTCCTCTCATGAGGACAAGAGTGATATGTTGGTAGGTTCCTAAGAAAGTACAGGGTTGTACTGCAGAAGAGAATGCAAATTCAAAGGCCAATGGAGTGGCCTTCAACAAAAACTTGTTCTCAAAATATCTGCTTCTGTTTTCTACTATCCAGAAAAAGTTCTCTGAAAATGTCACTTTCATTTTTCTGTATGACTTCCCTCAAGGCTGAAAATTAGGTAGGATATTTGGGTTGCATCCTCCACCTCTCCTGCCCCTGGTGTGCCTTATTTTGTATGGAAATTCATAGGGTGAGAGGTGAAATAAAGGAGTATTTAAAAGAACTAGACCTGTATTGTTGCCTATCCCTTTGAAATAGAATAAAGGCTATTTTTACTTCCTGCAAGTACATGATCATCTGGGAAATTGAGTGTTGGCTAAAACATACTATTACTCCAACTACAGTAATCCAGTGGTGGGACGATGTTCTCTCTGCAGCACTGTCCTGCCTCTCTACCTTCACACCCAAAGTTGGCCCAGGAGCAGCTGGGGGGCACGGCTCCAAAATCTGTCTTCATAACAATCCATAACATCTCTCTCCATTGTAATAAAAAGAGGATAATTAGAAATTCAAACCATGCTGTTACTAAAGACTTTTATCCTGTCCTATTTTTGCCAGAGAATTGCAGATGATTTGCATTTCTCCATTGGGCCCCCCACCATTTTATTGCATGGGGATTGATTTTCTGCAACAATTGGAATGTGTTTGAGAGCATACTGAGTAGTTGTGTTCAGCATAAAGCCTGCCAATATCAGAGCAATGTTTTTCAGGAAATTTCAGATTCTACTTTGATACTTTGCTTGGTCTCTGATGTTGTTCAGTATCTGGGTAAATGCTGCCTCTTGTCTGACCTTATGGTAGATAAATTTCCTGTGCCTGGAAAAAACTGGAAAAAATGTCAGTGCTTGTTGCTTTTAGAGTTGGCGGTAAAGTGTCTTAAGCTGAATGCTTCTTTTATTTGAACAGTGGGTGTGAGAGTCTTGAAAGATTGACACACAGATGTGGGGAAGATGATGTTTCCATTTAGTCTAAAGTTCTGGGCATGGAAACAGTGAGATGGAGGGGCTGGTACTCTCTGCCTGGCTACAGCCTTGTAGGGCTAATCTCCCTGGGGTTTGCCCTTCATCTAAAGGAGAGAGAGGGAATAGCTTGTTCAGAGGATACTTTGAAAATGTAACTTAATTGGTGCTCTGGAGAGGCACCTGTATCTGCTGCCTACAGAAAAACCCTTAAGTCTAGGGAGACCCATCCCAAGGTCAAAGTCAGGCTGAAATACTTCCACTGGCTGTGTGACACACCTCAGGTGACCACAACTTAAAAATACTGCATAACTGTCCTAACCACCCCAGAATACTAAGTGAAGATCAACAAGTAGCCTGGGTAGAGCAAAGAGATGACTAACCTGTGCAGGAGGAGGAAGGCTGACTCTGGCAGCCTTTGATTTGTCATTAAGTCTGCATTTAAGCTCATCCCTCTGGCCCCTTGCCTGCTCTGGCATGGTATTAGGAAAGCAGCCATGAACCTGCACAGAACTTCACATCCAAGGCTGAGGAGCTGCAGGACTCAGCAGCTTGACCACTAGAAGGAGGCAGAAGAAACCATGCCATGGCTTGCAGGGGAGCTCTTTTTCTCTTGTTCTAGTGGCACAAAGGTGCAGGAAGTACCTCTAAGAAAATTAATTCACATAATTGGCATCTTTGGTAGGTGTCTTTCCTTCTATGTCATTTTTGTGAGTACTTTCAGCTGAGAGGTGGGTTACTATTTCAGAGCAAGGCTTAGTGATCTTGGACTGATTGGCAAGCTCAGGGCCAGTCCACAGCTCTTCTCAGTTGCTTCTAGGAAGGAAATGGAAATCTGCATCTGCAAAGCCAGTCTCCTGTTTTTGTTTTTTTTTAAAGTAGGCTTCTGGTTTTTTTCATTTAAGTATGTTCATATCTTGTTTGGGTTTGCTCTTCTCTGAATGTTTAATAAGTGGTGATTGTGAAATGATCTTTGAAAATATGGAGAAGAGCCTTTATTTACATCATGTATATGCATGTAAATAGGACTGTTGGTGCCAGGCATATTTACTTATTGAGTTATGGATGTGCAGTGACTAAATGGGAATGTGACAAGAAGCAAGTGAATACTGTTTTACTGTTTCATGGGCATTTAATAAGCATGATTTGCCTTTTTATTATTAGACCCCAGTAAGTCCTAAATGTTGACTGTCTACCAAGCAAAATAAAAATGGTTTTGTTTTCAGGTTTTTTCTATGCAAAGATAAAAGGAAGAGGCTGTACACATTTTGTATCAACTCTGACTTTGTTTACTTTCTTTTGTTTCTTCTGAGATGAAGCTTACTGATTCATAAGCCATCTAATCAAAATGGAAATGCTGTTGCATGACATGGTGATGTCCCAGAGCATGGCCTGCGGAGAAACTCACTGCCAGTGCATGGGGGACACCTAAAACACCAATCTAATTCAGCCAATTTCTGTTTGCACCTTATTCACAATCTATTATTTTCAAATAAAACTGAGGTTAGCTAAAACTTTTCATAATGGAGCCAGCATTGGGGTGTAAAATTGACACTTGAATATTAGGGTGGAGTACCCTCAACCTATTAATGTGCACAGAGGCTGTCAATCTGAGGACATTTTGAAAGAGTCCAGCCCTTCCCTGGAGCAGGCCCTCTGCCAAGCAACAGGTACCTGGCTTGCTGTCTGTGCTTTGCTGCAAACAGTGTGGCTGTCACTATGGAAACACATGTGATGTCAGAAATTCAAAGCACTCCTGACTGCTTCATTTTGCTCATGCAGCGAAGCTGAAATGTAAAACATGAAAAAAAAGATCATCGAAGTTGTTTTCCAAATTGATGAATATAATGGGTATGGCAAGGAAGGAATGGTGAAAGATGTAAGATCACTTTGAGGAGCTCATTATGGTATAGTTTTAGCTGGTAAGAGAATCCCACCTCAGAATGAGGCTGAGGGAATGGACAGTGGTATTCAATACATCCCCAAAGTGTTCAAGCTAAGGTGGTTAAAAATAATTACAGGGTTTACCCAGTGTCTGTCTTATTCCTGACTGGAAGCCTGCATCAGCTAGAGCCCTGGTAGTTGGGTAAGCCCTACAAAAGGTGCTCAGTTACTGCTTTCTGTGGCAGTGGCACACCAGGAATTTGCAAAGGTAACAGAGCCCTGAGATCCTGAACATTATTATGGAAGAATGTTTGGGTTTTTTAATGGATTAAATGGTTTCAATTTCCTTGAGAGCAGACAGCAATTTTTTTTTCACTCTGTACAGTTCAATTGACTTTATCATCTTTCCCAAACATATATTTCATCCCCAAATACATTACCACAAAGCAGTAGTTTCTATGCAGTCAGTATTTCACCTTTGATATATGAATGGCATTATATGTCCAGTTCTGCAGTACACAGAGGCAGAATTGCCTCTGTCTTCAGGAAGAGAGACTGCCTATTAGCACCTGCTTTAAATAACAGCAGTGACACGAGCAGCTGATGCTTCCTGGTAAAGATTCAACACAAGATCAAAGTTCTACTGCCTTAAAGACCACACACTGTTTTCATAGTGTATATATTAAATGTGTGGATCTAGTGACCACATAATTACCCATTCTGTTTGCATTTAAATAATGAAATCCCATGAATACATCAGTATGGAGAGTAGTGCTAGTCTGAGTGCTGTGTTTGAGATTAATTGTTAGGAAAGCTGCTCCCCTTCTGGAGCTATTGTTTTTGAATCTGTTAGATTGTGTGTTTCCAGAACTCTCTATCCTATCTCTCCAGGTATAAACTAAGCTGTTAACTTGATATACTCCCTCTTTAATTCACCATAGCAGTATATCAATAAGAACAAAGTATGCCATGTTCTAACATCATTTTGGGAAATAAACTGCTGCCTTTGACTACAGAATTAGCCTGTTTCTTGGACCAGATTTAACTATGACAAATGTTCTCAATATCCACATTACCTGTCTGTGACTGTTTAAGGAGATTTGGGAAAACAAGAAGACAATAAATTCCTGCTGCTGTATTTAGAAAAAGCCTGAGGCATTTTTAGTGTAAACACAATTTTGAATATTTGATTATGCTTCTGTGGACTCTAACAATGTTTCAAATGAGAAAATGAGGCACTAGGTCTTCTTAGTCTAATTTATGTATTTTCTTCTGTTACTTTTTGTTCTTGTTCGAATCAGAACCTTTACTGCTATGGATGTAGGACACTGCATATGTGCAAATATGGCCACTGACAAAATTTCCTTTTCACTGCATGGAAGTGCTATAGGGACTTGAAACTAACCTGCATGAGCTTGACTCAGGGAGACCTGTTGGATCAAGTGGCTCTGTTCTGGCCCTAACTGACCCCAGAACACTTGCCCTTAAAAATTTTACCATGTGCTTTAGTCCTGAATTGGAATCCAGCTCCCCCCCTCCTAGATTATTATGCGGCACAAAGAAAGGAAGGATATAAACCTTTTCAGACATATTTCCAGCTGTGGTAACAATCTCTGGGTTCTCCTATGTTGCAGCAAACATGAGGTAACCCGAGTTTAAGACCCCTTTCACTGATACCTGTCTCAATTTTAACTTGCTTGAAGTTGTGGCATTTGCTTTTAAACACTGTGAAACTCACTTTATTTTGCAAAGGCCTCTAAAGCAACGTAGTTCTTTTACCCTACTGAGCAAGATTCATGCTGGTAACCTGGGGGTGAAAGGCTGTGTTTTTCAAACTTGTAGTCCTCAGTTCCTCAGATAAATACAAATAAATGGTCTCATTTTTAGCTAGGAAAGAGGTTCATTATCTGATAATTAGGAAGTGCACAATAGTCATAATATAGATGTAGCTAGACTGGGACACCCACCAATATGAAAGAGAGAACTGGAACAAGACTTAGCAGACTTCTGTCTGCATGCTTGAAGCCAACCCATCAAATAATGCATCCATTTCAAACAAGTCTATCCTGTCTCATATTAAATACCTGAGTCCCATGATGAATTTCTAGTAGCCATAGTGATGGTACTATGCAAATCAGATATAAAAATATTGCTGGTGAAAACCTGTGAAGGAAAAGAAAAGATATCTTGGTATTATGATACATCATAAATACTTTCCAATGCAGATAATGTTTGGATATATGGTATCTTGTGCCTCTACTATATGGGATATTAAGAAATAGGGTAATTGCCAATAAGAATTGCTATTCTTGCTGGATTGCTTGTGCTGTGTGAGTATTATAAATAATAGGTTTATCTGTACATCCATCTAAGGTCATATATGGAAATTTATTAAAAATTTCTTTTTTAAGAACTGACCAAAGGCACTTTGCTGTTGGTATTTCTATCACAGCATTTTCTGTATTTAAAAAGCCTGTAGCTAACATGCTCTTTCTGATTTCATGAAGAGTGAATTAATACATTGAGTCACTTCACTGAGTGATGCTGAGATAAAGGTTACTCACAATCCTGTGCATTGACACAGGAAAGGTAGAAATAGCATCAGTTTGCCTAAAACAAGCACTGCTTCAGTAGATCTTTTAGTTGCAGGCTGTGCATTTAAAATGGGTTTATGGAAATGGATCTTGGCCTTGTTTCCCCACTTGTGCTAGCAGTGGTAGAATTCTCTAGTTCTTTTCTCTCTGCTAGTCTTCTATATAACTGTGATGGGTTGGTGCTGGCCAAATGCCAGTGCACCCACAAAAATCATTTATTCAACTAAAACCAGCACAATAACTGATGTTGATGAAGCTTTGTTATCTTCAGCTTCTTTAGCTGGGTTTATTCAGAAGTAATGGAGAGATTTCATGACTCCTACAAGTAGTGATGCTTGTGAGAGTGAGTTGCTGCTGTTTTCTTGTTAAACACATGACATTTGATTGAGGTGGGTTTTTTTGGTAATTCTGTACTTCTACATACAGTAGGAATGAGGTGCAATGCCACAAATTTTGTATCTAGCTCTGCATGCTACAGTATGGACTGGGCATTGATGCAATGCCCTGGGGCTTGGCAATGGGGTCCAGCTCGGGACATTTGCTTGGTTCCTTCTATTCTGTCACTGGCACATTCTGCAATGAATTTAAACTGCTTATAAGTATGCAACTGCAGCAACATTTTGGCCAAATGTCCAAATGTTTGTCTCTATGTTGAACGTACCTTTATTTTGGTAATCATGACTTTTCCAGTGAAGATTAAGTACTGAGGAAAACAAAATATCCTGGTGCTTAGGGAAATTACTGGGTTGCTGAACTGCTCTGGAATGTTTCAAACTATCCCTTCTAAGATAGTTTGGGTTTTAATTGTGTTTTTTTGTTTTTCAGGGCTGAGGGGGTGTTGTTTGTTTTGGCAGTGAGTTGTGTTGTTGTTGTTAGCTTTTTTTTCCCCCCAAAAAAAAAGGCTAGTGATTGTGTGGGTTTTTAGCCTGGTTATTTTGGGAGAGAACACACCTCTCATTTGAATGGAAGAACTAACATTTTACAATATTTCCTGTAGGACTTCAGCACACAAAAAATCCATCCAGCTGGCAGGTTAGCAATACTGAGCTAATGATACCACATCAGGCCAAGAGACTTCAGGGGCTTTAACCCTGCCTTTCTTTCTGAAGGAGCAATCTAGAGGAAGTGGCCAGGCTCACAAGAAGACTTTTTCTCCACATGTGCACATTAAATGTTTTATGCTGGTGTAATCAGTAACAGTCTTCTGTCAATAATGAACAGAGAATATGAGGGTGTTGGAGGCAGGAGTCCTGCTGCATAGTCTACCCCTTGCCTGGATTGGTGATTGTCTGTGGAATTGTTTCTACAAATGCTGATGATGTTTGTTCTGTGACTGTTTTCCACTGGAGCAGAAAATTACCCTGATGGAAATAGATGCTGACCATTTGTCTACAGTTCTCACCTATATATGTACTTTTATTTTGCTGCTTGAAGTGTTGGACCACATCCATTTTCAAAATTTTCTTCTACATAAATTTAGCCCACTCTTCTATGTATGCATCTAACATGGATGTGCTTTTGGTTCCTATTTTTGTTTGGATTTTTTAAAAGCTCCATTGCAAGTGTTGCTTCATGAAGATTCTGCTGCTGCCTCCTCTCCCAAAATAATTGGTGCTGTTCAATCTGCCTGTCTCATAACTGCATTTGAGGCTCTGCTGTTGTTCAATTTTCCAGTGTCCCAGACTTTATCACCGCTTTTATTGCATTTAAATTTAGAGCATGGAACTCTTGCGTGAATTGTCACACAACACTCCTTCTGTTATAATGACTTTCACAGGTTGCAATGGGCAGGATTTTAAGAACATGGAAATACTCCAGGGCTCTCTAGTACTGGATTTGTCTGAAGGCCTGCCTGCAGTTTGAGTTTTTAACAATAAAAGGTCCTAGTGAAATCTTGACAATTAGTTACGTGACCGCCTCCTTTTCACAGAGCATTTTGTTTTGGCTGCCTGAGCGCTGATGAGCTGTAGATGACAGCAGTAATTCTTTAGATGCATGTAAAACCCCATGTGCTTGGCCAAGCTCTGCTATGACTAACTTTTTTGTTCATTTCTCGGGCAGCCTTTCACGCATGAAAGTTCCTCTCTGGAATAGCCTCTCAAATCCAAATAGTTAAGCCACTCTTGCTGTATCAAAAGAGTTGCTACTCATCTTTTATTTTTTTACAAAGTTTAGGTTCATGCAGTAGCGTGGTGTTAGCCCTGTTGCACGGAGGAGAGCAGGGGCATACAGTCCTAGGGCAGGAGGTGCAATGCAGGGCACGGCAGGATGGGTGTAAATGCAGGGCATTTGCAGGGTCCCTCCGCACCCTGTGCCCCTGCAGGGCTCAGGAGGTGCCCCGGTGCCCCCAGCCCGCTGCAGCCCCACAGCATCCACCTCCTGACTCTAGCAAGAGACACACACAGCCGCACAGAGTGCCTCCCGCGTAGTCTGCTGTACCATTGCCCCTCCTGAAAGCCCTCTGTCTGGCAGTGGACTAGCCAAACTCTACCAGCTTTCCACCCCTGCCTCCTGGGAGCAGCCGGAGAGCAAACGCGATCCCTGAGCGCCTGGCAGCGCCGGGACAGGGCAGCCCCTGCTCTCGGGGGGCAGCTTCGCATCTGCAGCAAGGAACATGCAAAGAAGCAAGAGGGGCTCCGGCGGAATATGCTCACCATTTGTAGCCTCTGCCTTGCTTAAACTTGAGGGTGAGCCCTGTCTCCAGGCACAGGAGAAGATTGAGCAGTGCCAGCAGCCAGTACTTGGGCTCCTTCTTGACGGCGGTCACTCTCCAAACCCCGATGAGCGAGTGCAACACGAAGAGCAGGCGAGTGACCAGGGCATTGAGCAGCACCATCAACTCCATGCCGCAGCCCGCCCTCCCTTCCCCGCACCGCGGGGCCCCGCCGCTTTTAGGAGCCCTGGCGAGTTACCTTGGCAGGCAGCGGGGAGTCTGCGCCTCGCCGGCACACAGATCGCTTCTCCTCCTCCATCTCCACAAAGGGGCCCATTATAACAAAAAAGAAACAGCATCGCCCCTCCCCCAGACTTCCTGAAAACTTTTTGAAGGAAAAAAAAAAAAAAAAAGACACGCTTCCATGCTGCAGTGGTTTGCAGGCTCGGAACAGCCCTGGCCGGCCCAAGGCAGGGGTGGGGACCGTTGTTTCTGTCTCCTCTATCATCGCTCAAGGACCAAGCACGGCGAGGTTTCCCCTCTCGTCCAGTTACCATCGCTCTGCAGCCCCACTTGCTGCTCTCGCCTCGTGCATCTCCAGCAAAGACACAATGAAAGGCACTTTGCTGAAAGCTCCACTGCATTTCTGAGAGTGCAAACCAAACCCCTCTTTCTGCTCTCCCTGAAAGAGAATTCATGTTTGGGAGCTTTTAAAATCGTTTAATATTGCAATAGAGAAAGCAGAACTTGTATGCTTAGTTCACTGGAATCCCTTGTGCAGCAGAAGTCAGAATCTGAAATCTAGTCAAACCACTATGATCTACACCCTGCTTCAGGACTAAGAAGCAGGCCAGGTGCAGAACTCCAGAAACAGGGATGAAATCTGGGCTAACACTAATTTTACTGAATTGGTCAACAGAGGCATATACAAAAAATGCACTAAAGTTTGACTGTTAGGTCAGTTACCTCTAGACAGACTTTTTGTATCCCGTGGGATACAAAGTGTATGAAGTACAGAATTTGTTTTAAAATTTCCTTAGTGTTTCTCATAGAAATTATAAATTGTATCAGAATTTACACTTTTCTCTACCAAAGAGAAATATCTTCTTGATCGAAATTGCCACTGTGTTGTTCCAGTTTTGTGTTAATTTACTGCCAAAGCCCTTAAATTGAGATAGCCAACTGTAAAATGCAAGTGAAGAATCAAGTTCATGTAATACTGTGGTGTTGCAGAGTTCCTAATGTCCTAAATTTAATTTTAAACAATCCTCTTCTATTCAAACACAAGATGATATTCTTCTGAGAGTTTTGAGCTTTCTAAGAAGGTATTTTTCCTCAATTGCTAAGATCCAAATTTTCTTTACTGCAAAGCCAAGCCTCTTCCTTTATGAAGTGCTGGTGCTGGCCAGCTGATATCCTTGGGGGTGGGGGATAAGGGAAGACTACTTTACTTTAACCCTGCCCAGAAAAAAAAAGGAAAACAAAAGTCCATTCCACAGCAGAGATGGCTCGCTTGGGAAATGCCTGAATAAATAAATGGACTGTGTGGCATGCCTTTTTGAAAGAACAAATTCAAGCTCCTCATGCTCAGAGGAAAATGAATTTAAGTCAAGGACCTACTATAGATAATCTCTGCCAGTAGTCACTGCCATATCGTGCCTTGGTGCTGCTGGTTCACAGCCCTTCCGCTGGCGTTAAGGTCAAATGTAGTTAGAGAGGAAACTTGGAGCAGACAGATTGAAGAGATTGTTTAAACAAGATATTCCTTTGTGGGAGTGCTTAATGTCAAATGACTTGGGGAGCTGGTATGTCCTATTGTTCATGGAGGTCCTTCCAGGGCAGACAGATGTCACAAAACTTGGAAAGATGATCAGTGCAACATTCTCATGATACTGTGCTCAGGAAGGATGCAGAGAGCTTTGCTGAGAGCTAAGTAATTCTGCATATTGAAGACATGTGGGAGCTGAACTGTTTAACAAGGTAATTTCATCAATGAACAATCCAAACTTTAATCAGTGAAAGTCCCAAACTTAAGTAGGAAGAAGATACAATATTGACTCTGCCTACTCAGTGGTGGACCATGATGGCAGCACACCAGCCTGAGTAGAGGGGGAAGTACTCATGGACAGCTTCATTGCTTTGGCCTAGAAGAGGCAAATATTGCATCCAGACTTGACAGAGTGCATTTTTAGATGTTTCAGGGGCTGTTTTGTGGAACAGCTGGTTCAAGAACCCATGAAGTCAGTGCTTGACTTGAATCCTGAGTGGTTTATGGGATATGATGTAGGGAGTAACAGCTGAAGAGGTCCTCTGAAAGGGGGATCTTAATGTGCTTAGATTTGGCATCCTTGCAGGAGTAAGGCAAGCCAGAGCTCTCTACCATTGCTCTGCTCAGCTTCAAAAAGGAAAACTAGACACAGATCAGCAGGCATGTTGAAAATAAGACAGATGGAACACCTAACTCTTTGCAGGGAGTGTGGATATTACTTCTGTAAATCACATGGGAAGTGCAGAGATAATAACTGTGCATCAAGGGAAACTTGAGAAAGAGTGAGAAGAAGCCAGCATTTACAGGGTAAGTGAGATTGCAGGAGCAAGAAGGCATCCTTCAAAAAGTTGAAATGCTGTCCAGCTGAAGAAAACTGAAAAAATTATGAACTCTAGCATGGACAAACATGATAAGGCTGGCTGAAGGAGTGTGAGGGACAATTAGCAATAAAACATGGTAATTAAAATGTCTGTTATCTGTTCAAACATATCGTGACTAGGAAATCTTCCAGGGAGTTGTTTGGTCAGTGGACAGCCAGGTGGCACAGAACCCCTCAGGGGTGCTGTTGCTGGGGGAATGGGGTCGCAGCATGAGTACAGATGTACACTGTAGTGTGGGAAAGAACTGACTCCTGCACAGAACCTTATAGAAGGGGTTGTTTTAGGATTTTTTTTTCCCTCTATGGCTCTGTATGTGCTAGTGTTCTGTCATTTAAATTCTTTCATGGTTTCTACTGCATCTGCATAGTTCCATCTGCATCTTAGACTTGTCTGGCTAGTCGATCATGGGCTAGAGAATTCTTGAGGGAGAAACTTTGTTTACCTTGGATATGTACTCTTTCCCTGAGGATGGAGTTAGGTCTAAGGCTGGATGCAGACACTGGAATTAGAAGGACCTTTGCTCTGACCTGAAATGGCTGCATTAGTAGAGACTTTCTGACATCTGAAGAAATTCATCCAGAGTGGGTTGTAGTGTTGGTTGGATCCAAGCTGAAAGCAAGACTTGTGTCTGTCTGTATAGAGTGCTCTACTAATGATATATCCTTTTCCCTACCTTTTTTCCTTCTTTCTGTCTCTTTGTCTTTTTTTTTTTTCTGGAAACTCTGTTCTGTGTCTGGGAACCCTTGAGAGTTAATGTTTGCAGGAGCTGCTGTGCTCTGGCAAAGCCTGGACACAGTGGTGTGAACATGCATCACACTGTGTGGGATTTTCATCCAAGACACCTTGGCAAGATCTGCTGCACATCTCTGCCACATAACAGCCAATTGCAGCATGTCTGATGCATTTGGGAAATGTTAAACCTTACTGTGCCCCCAGCACCAGTGACCACCTTTTTGCAGGAATAGGGAATCTGGCACTTTAAACACTGTGCCACAGGATCTCTGTGCTTACATTGAATAATTCCTGCCTTTAGGCCAAGTCACGTAATTGCACTAAGCAGACTCCATAACTGTCAGAAATGTGGAATTGCACCAGTTCCCAAAAACAAACTAGGGTTGGAGGTGGTTCTCTAGCTGAGCATGAGTCAGCAGTGATGGAGGGTCACACTGGCAGGTAGATGCAGAGCTGAAACCTGCCAATGTCCATCTTGTGTGCTCAGGAGGACCTTAGCTGAAGTGCTGCCCTACCTTGGCTCAGTGAGGGAGGAACCAGTGGAGAAGGGTAGGAGTATTTCTATAGTAGGAAATTACTTACTTAAACAAATGGTTCCATTTCAGACAGTTAAAGTGACATCCTTGTCAGGTTGAAGTGCTTATAGAATCACAAGACCCCCATTCAAGCACCTGGAGGGACTCCAGTTTGAACTGGAGTGCAGGGCATAGGAAATCCTGTGAGGAGGAATTCCAGAGCAAAAGTTCTGTGAGATTTTGTGATAATACGCAGTGGTTTTTTGTTCTTGTTTAGGGTGGGTTTTTTTTCTCTTTGTGGGAGCTCTGAACAAAGAGTCTCAGAATTTACTCCTTTGCTTACAGAATGGGATGTTTTAGGCAGTGAAATTTGGTGGTAATGGCTAGTTGCCTTCAGTTCAAGAGACTTTGAAGATGTGATTTACAATATTCATAAAGAAATAATTATAGGGTATTAGCTGGAAGACACCAGGGATGAGAATGGGTCATAAATTCAATGTGAGTCAGCAGTGTTGTTCTGCTGTGAAGGAGGCACGCTGGGATGTATAAACAGACCTGTAACGTGCCAAATTCAGTTATTTCTTCTGCCTTCCTTGGTGCTGGAAAAAACCTCACTAAACTACCCTAATTCTAGTATTGCTTTTTCAAGGGAGAGCTGAAAGGATAGAATGTCCAGAGATGGACAAGACTGCTGAGGAAAGAATAAGATACCATCATTTAGTGTAGAGAAAAGAAAACTTAGGGGAGATGGAAGTGGCCATGTGTTTAGGAATAGCCTATCGACCAGTCCTAAAGCAGAGGGAAGGAAGTAAAAGGCTTAAAGAGGAAAAAAAGGAAAAAAATATGCAATTAGATGTCTGGAGACATATCCTGCTAGGAAGGACAGTGAAGCACTGAAATAGATTGTGTAGGGAGATGTCCAAGTTGCAGGCTTTTAAGCACAGATTAGGGAAACATCTGTCAGGGATGACAGCAGTTTAGTTGATCACTTGGGATAGAGGGCTGACTAGATGATCTCTGGAGGTTTTTTCAAGTCTTTTACCTCCTAGGGCTCTAAGGTTTGTTTCTTTATTATCTAGTCATTGTCTTGAGTCTCTAAGGAAGTTTCTTGCTTAAATTAAATCTGTTTAGTTTTACTTGCATAGGGTTCTTAAAGAAGAGGAAATTGTTCTGCTTTCTCAATGCTTGACTGCAAACTGTGAGTAATTATGACAGCCTTATAAAGAGATCACCACAAGTGGCAATTAACATACATGTTGAAACAAATGGGAATGATTTAGTCGTAATGTGAAACAA